GGAGTAAAGGAGAGGGGCAGCACAGACTGGAGTGAATGAGAGGGGCAGCACGGACTGGAGTGAATGAGAGGGGCATCACAGACAGAAGTGAATGAGAGGGACAGCACAGACTGGGGTGAATTAGAGAGGCAGCACAGTATGGAGTAAAGGAGAGGGGCAGCACAGACTGGAGTGAATGAGAGGGGCAGCACGGACTGGAGTGAATGAATGGGACATCACAGGCAGAAGTGAATGAGAGGGACAGCACAGACTGGGGTGAATTAGAGAGGCAGCACAGTCTGGAGTAAAGGAGAGGGGCAGCACAGACTGGAGTGAATGAGAGGGGCAGCACGGACTGGAGTGAATGAGAGGGACATCACAGACAGAAGTGAATGAGAGGGACAGCACAGGCTTTAGTGAATGAGAGGGGCAGCACAGACTGCAGTGAATAAGTGGGACAGCACAGACTGGAGTAAAGGAGAGGGGCAGCACAGACTGGAGTGAATGAGAGGGGCAGCACGGACTGGAGTGAATGAGAGGGACATCACAGACAGAAGTGAATGAGAGGGACAGCACAGGCTGGAGTGAATGAGAGAGACATCACAGACAGAAGTGAATGAGAGGGACAGCACAGACTGGAGTGAATGAGAGGGACGGCACAGACTGGAGTGAATTAGAGAGGCAGCACAGTCTGGAGTGAATGAGAGAGACAGCACAGACTGGGGTGAATGAGTGGGACAGCGCAGAGTGGGGTGAATGAGAGGATCGGCAAAGACTGGAGTGAATGAGAGGACCAGACCAGACTGGAGTCAATGAGAGGGACAGTACAGAATGGAGTGAATGAGTGGGACGGCACAGACTGGAGTGAATTAGAGGGACAGCACAGACTGTAGTGAATGAGTGGGACAGCACAGACTGGAGTGAATGAGAGGGGCAGCACATACTGTAGTGAATGAGAGGGGCAGCACAGACTGTAGTGAATGAGTGGGGCAGCACAGACTGGAGTGAATGAGAGGGGCAGCACAGACTGTAGTGAATGAGATGGGCAGCACAGACTGTCGTGAATGAGTGTGACAGCACAGGCTGGGGTGAATGAGAGGATCGACAAAGACTGGAGTGAATGAGAGGATCAGACCAGACTGGAGTAAATGAGATGGCAGTACAGAATGGAGTGAATGAGAGGGGCGGCACAGACTGGAGTGAATGAGAGGGACAGCACAGACTGGAATGAATGAGAGGGGCAGCACGGACTGGAGTGAATGAGAGGGACATCACAGACAGAAGTGAATGAGAGGGACAGCACAGACTGGAGTGCATGAGAGGGACGGCACAGACTGGAGTGAATGAGAGGGGCAGCACAGGCTGGAGTGAATAAGAGGGACAGCACAGACTGGAGTGAATGAGAAGGACAGCACAGACAGGAGTGATTGAGAGGGAGAGCACAGGCTGGAGTGAATGGCAGTGAGTGAGTGAGTGAGTGAGTGACTGAGTGACTGAGTGACTGAGTGACTGAGTGAGTGAGTGAGTGAGTAAGTGAATTGGGTTTAACGCCACTTTTAACAGTATTCCGTTATATCGTGGCGTGCCACGAACTCACAATCATAGGTTTCTGGCTTGCCCAAGGGATGCAACTCTGCACAGCGAATCGCGGCGCCTGAGACGACTGGACCACCAATGCCCCCTTGAATAGAAAACATAATAGTACCCAAGTACACTTCAAATTGTTGCAAAGCTAACAATAGAGTAAGAGTTTATTTTCAATATTGGAATCATTGCTCTGATGTTTGTAAATATTTTGTGAATACTAACAAACAGGATATTCAGAGCCTGATGCATCTTCCTGCAGTAGGACAGCTCCGGCACCAACGTCACTAGCTTCTACAGCTAATTTGAAAGATTTTTGGGAAAGTTTGGTGCTTTGAGAAAATGGGAATTCGCGAGAATAGCTTTAACATTCTCAAAAGCAGCCTGACAATTACTGTCCTAAACACAAACTTCATCTTTTTGCCAAGCAAATTAGTAAGGGGGACTGCCACATGTGAGACATTTTGACTTTACGGTAGTAACCAGCCATATCCAAAAAGTTCTTTTTTGTTTTGTGGAACCTGGAATTTTGAAATAGGTTCCACCTTTGCTTGCACGGGTTGTACCTCACCTTGGCCTATGACATAACCTAAGAATTGTACATGTGCCTGTGCAAATTCACTTTTCAATAAATTAATAGGCAACTTGGATTCAAAGAGTCTCCTGAAGAAGGCACAGACCCTCTTCATGTGTAAGTCCCAGTCCATGATTGATAACATCGTCAACGTAGGCTTCGACACCTTCGGCTGTCATGTCATTGCTGAGATGCTGGGAGGTGGCTGGAGCGTTCTTGAGCTCAAATGGCAACATTTTATATTGGTAAGGTCCATCGTGAGTGATATTGTTTAACCGGCACAGCGTCACGTACATCCACATCATGGCACACTAAATCTTGAGCCTTTTGGGGGCGGTCAGGTAGCCTAGTGGTTAAAGCGTTCGCTCGTCACGCCGAAGACGCGGGTTCGAATCCCGACATGGGTACAATGTGTGAAGCCAATTTCTGGTGTCCCCCACTGTGATATTGCTGGAATATTGCTAAAAGCGGCGTAAAACCAAACTCACTCACTCACTTGAGCCTTTTGCTCAGATGACAAATTACTTTAATTAGCATCCAAGTTAATACTTCAGCTTAGGGCTATCAAAGTCAGCAATGTCATCAAACTTGATAAAGCCATAATTCTCATCAGGATCACAATTTGAAGCAATTTGCAAAGGAAAACCAGTGGCAACACACTAAGAGGGATCCTTGACATTATCAATCTCATTAAAATCAGACCTTAGTTCTCGCTACCGCTAAACAAAGATTTGAGGACATCCCATTAGGGGTCACGTCAGACCGACCTTGCGCGAACTTTGACTGACCAATGGAATGACCAATCAGAAACCAGCTTTGTCGTGCTTTACGGCACTAATTTCAAATTGGCGACTACGCTTCGAAACATATTTTGACAAATTCTCGATTACAAATTTGAAACCTAAACAGAAAAACATTCTGGAATGGCTAATAGATGGTCTATAATGTAAGAATTCAGTCGTTAAACACGTAACTATCGTTCAGATACCCCATGTTAAAGTTTTCGAGATTGCCTGATTAGAAATCACATACCGACAGTCACTTTCATAATCTGGTAAGCGATGCACTGATTGGTCGAATGAAAGGTCGTTCTGACCCCTAATGGAATGTCTTCAGATCTTTGTTTAGCGGTAGCGGGAACTAGGATCTGATTTTAATGAGATTGAGACTTTATCGCCAGGACTAAAATTTCTCTCTTGTCATAATGTACTTTCATTTTGTCCTGGGATTCCTTCAAGTTATTCCTACAAACTTCACAAGCTTCTGAAACCCCTAGCCCGAAATGATGAGACATACTCCAACAAACTCATTTCAGACCTGTCATTAAGCCAATGCTCTTTTAGGTGATTTAAGGTAGCACAAACTGTATGGCCGAAGACAACGTCAAGAGGACTCAAAACCTATGGGATCCTGAACTGACTCCCTCACACCAAACAACAACAAATGAATGCTTTTACCGAATCCTCATATATGCAGTGCAACACAGCTACAAACACTTTCCAACAATAAAATACACTGCCATATAACAATATTTTGAGGACGTCGATTTGTCGACATCAGATTCGGCGACACTATTAAGTATTTTCATGATCAGTGCACGTTACTCAAGTTTGAGCATGTTCCAAAGATCATTGGCTCTTATGTTACAAACATGAAACAATGAAACAGTTTATTCATCTGACTCGAGGTTATGTCGTAAATAAAATATTTCAGTTTTACGCAATTTCTTATATTTGAGCCTCCGAACTTTCATTTCAACCCTCGAAGATATTAAACATGCACATATAGATTAAGTGTATCATGTCGATGTTGACTTAATACACGTATATACAATCTCTGTTCTTGTAATTTGAATGGCTTGAAGGACATCATACTTGTGATCATAACTCGGACTGCTTCACTTGCTCAGCGATCAACTGGATTAAAAAAACTACACAAACAAGTCAATTGGTTGTAAGTTGGTATGTCTGCTATATTTTGTTTTCTCAGGTTACTACGCTCCGATCTGTATACCACCCGCGTGATGTGGTGTGTGGTTATTGCATTTTACCCAATCCTGTTACCTCAACATGTCTGGAGTGTTATGCACTAACAGTGAGTTATGGGAGGACAGTGAAACGAGTTATTTGGACGGTAGCATTCCCCTCTAAATCTTAAATGTCAAGGTAAGCGAATCTTTGGTACAGATAAATTTAACTTCACAGACATATACGGATTGGCAGCAATCTACTGAAAGGTGGATTTTCAGGAATAACAGTGTGTGTACACTAACGAGTTTCACTCTGTGCCGATAAGCCACACACTGTATGTTTTATCAGCGAGTTATATAATATTAAGACAAAGATAATTATATCATGCAGGACACAAGCTCTCGTGATTGTGGTCTCTTCTGCCACGAAACATGAAACACTTTTTCTCACTACCAACTTTTGGGGAATTGCATTTGAAAGATTCCCGTGGTCGTAGGTTCGAATCCCAGAATCGCTCCGATCATGATTCGTGGCTTGTCATCACATAGCCTTACTCGCGGGTTTGAATTTGCAGCATCTAAGATTTGCATCAATGCAGGCTTTCTTCCCATATTAAGCTGACACACCGTGATATAACTGAAATACAGTTCAAAACAGCAATACACCCAATCCACTCACTCTATTCTTTGAGACTATGGATAAGTCAATTGTATCAACTGTGTAGTTTCTGGATAGAAAATGCATGTCAGAAGCATCACTTGCTAAGGAAAATCTAGTCTATCAATATCATTGTGACACAGTAATGTACTTTGACCTACTACATTTCTTAGTTATCTTTCTCGCACAGGGTGGCTTTGTTTGTAACCACGTGACATGCGTTTAGATTTTGAACTGTGAGCCTGGCCCCCGCCCACTTAGAACAGGTAGCGGATACTTTATTCTGTATGACATTGATGTGTTGAAGACCTGAGCCACAAGTCCCTTTTGTCGTCTTCTGGGGTAGGACATTTGGCTCTGGCTGACAAGAAAAGTATAGCACATGAAGAGCTTTTTTAAGGTAGGGCTCGCTTGCGTAAATATATTGCATTAGTTTAACTGGTCATGTTATAGCCCGTGTTAACAAATGATCTCAGAGAATCCTCTCTGTGTATGGCTGTTGTATGAACTCTATGCTATTGTACAGAACGTCGTCCAATATATGACGTCATCAAGTTGCGAGCGCATGTTCGAATCTTCAGCAACGACTTCATGATAGAAAAATGTTTTATCGTGAAATGAACCACGCTTCACTGTTCATATTTCTTTGCAGTTTATCGCATAGCTATTTGCATATTGATTTAAACTCAATAATGTTCACCACGTGAAACAACCATCATACCTGGTCTTGTTTTCATTTTACAGATACCATCACGCACGCATTACATCGCAGGATGGATATTCCCCATATTGTTATCCTGCAGAAGAATCATGTATATCTAAAGGAGAACCTTTAGGTCGACCCTGTGCTGGATGCCTTGTACCAGGGCTGTGTCTTCACACAGGGAGACTATGACAGGTGTAGACTAGCTGCACCAGAGAGACAATGTGAACTGTTCCTTGAGATTTTGAAGAAAAAAGGGGTTGAAGGCTACAGGACACTGTGTGCTGTCCTTGATTCCACACAACAATTTATCAAGGAGAAACTTGATGAAACCTCAACTGAAGAAGGTATTTCAACCTATCACATGCCTCTTCATTCATATCGAATATAATATTACTAATCAAAATCTACAAGCATGTTGGTGTTTTAGTTCAGGTTGGTTCTAAGCACCATAGGCTGTGAAATTGCAACTCATCAGATGAAGTTAGAAGGATTTTTTTCACTTAATACACATGTAGTTTTCAATGTGCATCAGATATCAATAATGTACACTTATTAACAATGAATTATTCTAGATTGATCTGTGGTGAAATATGAATGTTTCCGCCCAGGTCTTGGCTTACTGAAGTCAGTGTAGCTACACTCCCATTCGTGTACACTAAGAAAGAAAAGACAAATCATATAATATGTTCCTGATCGATACATGGTGTAGGTCTTGGACACACTGACAAGTAAATGTTTTTAGGCGTTTTACCAAAGATAAATATACCAAAGTACATGTTATAGTTCTGAGGCTAATAATATTTCCTATCCTGGCACAACATATTCCAATGTCCTCCTTCACTTCGATCATATAACGCCTAATCTAAAACGTGCCTCCGTGTACATCCAGAGCCCTCATTACTATTGCTTATTCAGTAATGAGTTATTCATTACATCCCTTCTCATAAGACAAGTGATACAGATGTGCTATCTGTTGGCAATTATATCCTTTGACTTCGGGTTGATTATACAATCTACCTGAATGAAACGTCACAGATATCTTTCAAGAAAGTTATTACAATGACGTATGTGGAAAACTATCATTTTGGACCATGCATTTGTGCATTATTGTTTTTGTGATCGTGACAAAAAAAATATTTCCCGCGATTGATTGTCCAAACTGTCGAAAGTGGATGTCAATGTCACCAGAACTGTCTCCCACCAGCGTTTCTCCTCGTCTTGGATCGCCATCTGTCGCGCCTAATGGTGTCACTATAAGGGTCCTCGTCGCCGCATTCCTGGGATGCATCCTCCTGGCGACTGTCGCTAGTGATTGGAGCTCTACTGGGGATCAGTGCTTTGTCTGTGACTGGCGATACACTGGCCATTGTCCTGAGCTTTGTATCTATTCGATGATTTTCATCTATCATTGATTACAACGTCTTGCCATCATCTAGCAAATACATTACCCTGACATTGCTGATGCTTCCCATGTGGATGGTGCCTTCACATTTAATGGCTACGATGGGTGCATCAGTGTCTGGTATGTCATCGTCACAAGAACAGTCCCCAAATGCACCTCTCTTCATCCTGGGATTGCGGATGTACCTTTCTACCCTTGTACAAGTGTCTACATGGGAACCGGCCCTCAGAGAATTACTATGCAGTCCACACCTTTCTGTGGGTGATCCAACGTTAAGGTATGCAAACCATCCTTGAAATGAGCTCTACAACCGTTTCCGTTTTCATCTTACTAACACGCAGAACTATACGTTATTTTAACCACTCATCACAGTTTTCCTCCACATTGGGGATGGGCAATTCCATCGGCGGCTACTCCACTTGGTAGATATTGACTGCTACAACTTCCAGGGCCATCCTGGTTTGTGACAGCAGTGCCTTCAGTTACACTTTCTCCAAGTACAGTCTTGTGATAACGTCTTAGCCCTGGGGATGTGATCACACGAAAACTATCACGACTTCTATGTGCTTGGTGTCTCCGTCCTTGACACCTGATTATGTATTCACATATTCCAGATGTGCCAGTGAGCACTCCACAAACGTTAGATGCAAATTCAGAAAGTGGAGAAACTTTAAACGGGTGTGACAATAACATTCTCGCTTCAGGCCAATTGACTCATAAGTTTCGCTCCAACCATGACCAGCTGGGAATAGCGAGGACTATTAGTGACAGCCACTGTGGTAACACTCCAGTGACCTGTTTGGCAGAACATTTCTACACGTTGCTGACCGGCGTGCCACTAGAGGCCTTGTTTCACCACATCTCGGGCGTTACACATGTCGTCGCAGACGCGATGTCAAGGCGACACCAGTCCACGCCAACATAATGACAACTTCATCCGAATTTCTTTTAGTGGATTCGTTAACAGCTGAACACGCCCAACACTGATGTGGGCGCCACAAGATACGACCACCAGCTTCCACTGTTCGACTCTCCAATCTCAGATTCACTCTTCTGGGATCACGATCCACTGGCCATGTTCTGGAACACAATGTACACCTTCATATGATCGACACCACCACTACTACTTAGAGTACTGCTGAAGTTGACTAAAACTAGTGCCAACGTCTTTCCATTGTGCCTTATTGGCTCAGGAGACTATGGTTCCAGAATTAGGAAGATCACAGGAATCCTGGGAACCACCCTGGGAAGGCAACTCCGCAATGCATGCATGTAGCAGACCCATTGATCCCCAGACCGTTGGCTCTGCACGTGTGGAGCATCCACAACCATCAACCAATTCCTTGCAGTTCCTAGGTCCAGAAGAGTGACATGCTTGTATTTGGGAAGTCAATGCCTTGTCTATACTAAAATTTGACAATGACCAGATGCCTCATATGGACCTAATGTGGGATTTTGTGGTCAAACACCATTGTTTTCCAGATATCTTTGTGTCACATAGTGTCACAATAACTATTCAGAGTGATTGTTGGTCTCCGATTCTACGGGACTCACGTATTATAAGCCGTGCTGCGAGACACTGAAGCATCAATTTACATGTTAGAGTTAAGGATGTGGCAAGGGATATGGATTAGTGAGGATTACTCTCGCTGAGCATATTCTTATCCATACGTATTCCAGAGCTGGTCAGCAATAAGGCAAGCTGCTGTAGCGGATCCCAAGTGTTGCAAAATGTTGTGAAGGGATAGAACATATGCTACATGAATTTGGTTATTCACACTATTAGAATCCTTACATTGTCACAAAAAGTCTCTGTCCCAGGCCTAGATACCACGACACATGCTGACGAGAAGGCAGTTGAGTATCAAGGGCGGGTAACTCTGCTTGGTAACCAAAGGCAACGTGTGTCCAGGTGCAGAAGTGGCCTGCTTTGACTTCTATTTTATATGATCAAATGGAAATACATTGTGCCAGGATAAGTATTCTTATAACATGAATAGCAAACGTCAACAAGCTAGGAATTATTCCAAACAATATTAACTTTAAATTTTATTTCTTTTCGAAGATATGTGATAACTGTCTTATAAATCTTGTCACATCCTGTTTTCTACTGGCGCAATATTATATTTTCAGGTAATTCAGATCTTGTCTATGTCAACAAGGAAAAGGTGGAAGCTCACCACAAAAAACAACTTGCTGAAAAAGATGGGCAAATAGCTGACATGCACTCTGTACGTTGTGGAGAGACAGCACAAGCTCGTCTATTTATTATGTTGAGAGCTCCCTTGTTTTGATAAGAGATATATATTAGATGTATATGATTTTAACAATGGTAGTGATTATTAAAAGTACATTTACACCAACGTTGAAGTTTTCATAAAAAAGGAGTGTAACATGTAAAAAAAATGACATAAACTGCTACATGTATATGCAGTCGATATGAACTTCTTAAACGATCGTTCGCGTTTGTTTTAAGGCAATGGAAAGACTTGAGGATCAAGTTAAACAAAAAGACACAGACTATGCTGAACTGGAAGAACAACTTATAAAAGAAAGAGGGGATCTCACAACACAGATAGAAAAGAAGAATGAGGAAGTTGAAGCTGGTAATCTGACATTAATAATATATAGTTAAATATCGCTTCTATCCACAATTTTGATTTTGCTTATGTTGCCAGTAAAAAATATTATATTTGGTATAACACTTTCTTAGTGAAGTACAGATTCTCGTACTTGTTCAAGCTATGATTTTTGCGTTTGGTTTGTTGTTTAACGCCGCACTCAGCAATATTCCAGCTATATGACGGCGGTCTGTAAATAATCGAGTCTGGACCAGACAATCCAGTGATTGATATCATGAGCATCGATCCACACAATTGGGATCGATGACATGCATCAACCAAGTCAGCGAGCCTGACCACCCGATCCCGTTAGTCGCCTTTTACGACAACCATAGTCACATTTTATGGCAAGCATTGGTTGCTGAAGACCTATTCTACCCCGGAATCTTCACGGGTCCCGAAAGCTATGAACACACAATGTCATACCCCTCTGACAAGCGTAAATTGGCACGGCTCCCAAGGCTGAAATCAATGAACACACAATGACATTTAGAAAGTGGTCAAATGTAACAAATAGTATATATTTGGGATAACACATTCTTAGAAAAGTACAGATTCTCATACTTTTTTAGGTTGAGTCCCATCCGGGATTCGAACCCACACTGTCACTGCCGGATAGGACTCAACTTAAAAAAGTACGAGAATTGGTACTTAACTAAGAAAGAGTTATCCCAAATAAAACATTTGATCACTTGCTAAATGGCATTTTGTGTTCATATTTTGCCAGTGTTCACGGTGGTAATGGAAGATCCTGGTTTCCAATGGCCTGTCTATGATAAACAACTACATTGTATCATTTCTGGAAATATACTAATTCCATATTTTCAATGGACCATGCTATGCAATGTCCGGAATGTTGACACATAAAACTGTTATCTGAGGGTATCCATGCATTTTTCTCGTTTCAGTGAAAACAAATTTGTCAAATGCAAATGATGAGTTGCTGCAGATTCGGGCAAAATGTGAAACAGTGGAGAAGGTGAGATTGGTTCAACTTAAATGTTGAAGGTGTTATTTTGCACAGCTTCTAAACTAAATGGAAATAAATTAACACGTAATATCTTCATAACAAGATACATGTCTGTGATGCAGTGAAAACTGTCGTTTCAGAGACTACAAGAGGAAGAGGAGGCATATGATGCTGTATTGGGGGTTCCCAGGTCACAGTCCCCAGACGGGGTACATGTAAGAGAGGAAGTCCATCAAGCAGGTGCATTAAACAAAGTGACACTCCATCTTATATATGTAACTTATGAACAAAAATACAATAACACGGTAAGTAAGAGTCTGATTATGTTTGTCTGATGAATCAGTTCCTTTAAGCTTTAAACTGATCGTGTCATTTGTTTTTCCTCAGATTCGACTGAGCGAATGTGTCAGTTTTTAACGAAGTCCTGTTGTGATGGGAGTCAGCTTTGCCTCCTTCCATGCCTTCATTCTGCCTGCAAGCCATGCATTGATCACCAAGACACCCAAGCCAAGCAGAATTGCATACAGTGTCCCTCCTGTGGCCGTGAGTTCAACATGGAGCAGACAGCAGTGGACCATGTCGGACGCAATGAAGCTGCCTATACTGCCAACGTTGATGGAGAGAAGAAATGTAACTACATCGAAGGAGATCATGATGCAAAGGCTGTGATGTTCTGCCACGAATGTGATGACCTACTCTGTTCCGACTGTCATAAACTGCATGACACACTAAAACGGAATCGAACCCACAGAGGGAGTGAGATCAACCAGGAGGAGAATATCCCTATGAAGCAGTGGCTGAAAGAACCTAACTGCAGAGGCCATCCTGACAATAAGCTGCAGCTGTATGACCACACATGTAAGCAGGATATCTGCCTTGTTTGTGATCGAGGGGCCCACAAGGGTCACGAGAATGAAGACATTAATCCTGCCTATGTGAAAGCAAAGGGTCAGCTTGAGGAGCAGGTGCAGCAGCAACGACTTAAACTGAAAGATGTCAAAGACAGAATGGGAACTGTCACCACTCACCAAACCGAACTTGGAATTCAACAGGGAAAGCTGGAACAAGATGCCACTACAGTCTTCAAAAGTGTTGCTGTACGGTTCCTTCACCGGCAGAGACAACTCATGAAGGACATTCATGCGAGCCTTCAGGCCCCAAATGAAATGGTTAAAGAGAAGCTGGACACTTTACATGACGTCCATACTTCAATAGTATCAACGATAGACTACACCCAGAGAACACTTGAATCCACAAGACAGGAGGAGCTCATTGCTCTCACTGCAGAAGCACTACAGAAGAAATCTGATGAAAATCTGAAGAGGAAGCTTCCAGAAGATGACACACAAGACACGAGAGTCCTTCTTACCTTTCAAGGACAGAAAGCCCTTATGGAACTAATCGACACATTTGGTGGTCTTGCCTCAAGTCTCGACTTGGATAATATTCCAGATAAACAGCCTACTTTACAGGGTAAGAATGCTTCTTCAAAATCGGAGCACTGATCGTGGACTTTAGGAACAATATCCTATATCATAGCTAAGTGTTTTTGTATATTTTAAGTTATCTTATCTTGCATGCCTTAATACCATTATTAATCGATTTAAACGTATCTTGCTATTCCATGTACAGTGGCCCAGTTTTATATTTGACTTGTATTATATCTGAGGTGAGACGAGAAAATATTATTTGTCTGTCTCTCTGTCTAGCTGTTTGCCTGTCTGTATGTACGATGGGTAAGAGGAAAACTGTTACCAATAAGGTAATCAATCTGTGTTTGTAATTGTCTCTTCAGATCTCCATAAACAGAATAAACAGCTGGCATTAAAAGAAGAAGAAACCAGAGCGGTAAAGTATTGCATTCATAACAGAATTTTGTTTTATCAACATGTTTTCTGAGAAAGGGTTTCAATGGCTCATACATTGAGTACACACATGGCTCAAATTGTGAGTAAAACATATGTAATTAACACGGTTGGAATCAAGTTGCACATCGTTCCTAACACCCACATAGCTAAATGTTACATGCAGTCGATAAATACATAATGTATTTGGTATGATATGATACCCAGCTATTGTGTGAGCGAAAGGTTATGATCTGATCTCTATGGTCTCTGCGATGTTGTTTCAGGTACATGGAGGGCGGTGGCATCGGCTTGGGGAGATGATCCGTCGCATCACAGGTACAATATAACACCTTGACGTAGGTCAGGAAAAGCAGATTAAATACCAAATGAACTACATTAACCTTCAAACTTTAATATAGAATGTCAATGTATTCAGTGTATCAGTTTAAGACTCACTTTCTGTTTTTATATAAAACAGTAAATAATAAGACTTTAGTTAGATTAATTATTGAAATCCAATACATTTATCTACCAACAGGTTCTGCTACAAGTGGAGATGTATCACAGGGACTCCAACCTGAACAGCTGACACCACAGGATCTCCGACATGAACAGCTGAGACCACAGGAACGCCGACCTCAACAGCTGACACCACAGGAAGTTTACGAAATCACATGTGTACGTTTAATGACAAACAACCCCCACCCCCTCAAAATGTAAACTGCGAAGTATAGAAGAAAAGGAAATCATTCAAATTTGTCTAGCCAAGAAACGTATTTAGATTTAAACATAGAACTTACATAAGTGAATGAGTGATTATGGTTTTACACCGCTTTAAGCAATATTCCAGTAATATCACGGCGGGGAACACCAGAAATGGGCTTCACACATTGTACCCAAGAACTTAAATAATGTGTCAAGCTTAATGATAATATGTTTTCAGTTCATACTCGGAGCATCCTTCCTTTCTGAGTCGCCTTCACGTGGTTTATTATTGAGAGGTATGTACAACACGATATCGGATTTAGTTATTTAGTCGAAACTATATCTCGAATGCCAGAGTTACTGTCAAGTTGTAAGAAGTCACCAGTTTACTAGATTTCCAGGTAAAGGATGCATGACCCATAGCAGTTATGTATAGCAAACAGTTCCACCTGTTTAGTGAGCGATACTGTACGCCACATACGACAACTGGTTACATCAAACGTCCTTGCTATTTTCAAATGATAACTTGTAATGATGCGGCGAGGCCTCGGAAATGCATGACCTCTTTCGTTTGGATAATATTCATTTTACATGTTGCACTTTAAAATCGTTGCTTCTGGCATGTCAGAAAATACATAGTTATTAGGAAGGTTTATATAGATCAGTTAATGTAGTTCACTGCACAATAAAAGGCAAAATGAGGTAACTAGCTTCACTTGTGTGCTTCCTAACTTATGTTGGGGCATATGCTGCCCATGTCGACATTTGCTTGTGTACATTTGCACCCCTTTATCGTGCCATGATCCTCTGAATTCGACCAGATCATGGTTTTGGCTTTTGATCTTTGGTTTTACAATGCTTATATTTTGCAGGGTACTCAGGTGCAATTCACATCATCAACAAGAACAGAAGTGTCATATTCATCACATGTATGTATTTGTTTATCGTACTTAATGTTTATTAGGCAATTGGGTTAAGCAATAGTTTCTAGCATACAAAACCACTTAAAAAGTCAGTTGCTTACGATGTATTACCTGTATTACCATCGTGTGTCACTGGCGTTGATCGTAGTACATGTTAGCAATCACCGGTGTGCTTGATGCAACTTTATAATGGAACATGTAAATGTAAATGAAAAGATTAATACCAAAGGGATTAAGACAAGTCACGCGTTTGACCCTCGTACATCCAGCAGTTGTAGTGAGGGATAAGGGATTAATCATGGCTGAGAACACATGGAATGGGCTTCACACATTCGACCCTTGTTTGGAGTCGAACCCGACGTGAACAAGGTAACCCTTTAAACACTAGGCTCCTCAACTACCACTCCAGCAGTTGAACGTTCCAGTTTCGCAGTCGTATGGGTGTTCTCACACATTTATGTTTTCTGTGAAAGCGTCTTCCAGAACGGTAGAAAGCTGTAGTGTAAAACAGCAGAAGGTGAGCTGGGTGAAACACAAGAAAACATCCACAGGTAGCACAAATCAATGGTGTATGATGAAAAGACAATGTGCTCGAAACTCACAAATATTGTTTATATCGGCTGAGCGAAAACTGCAATCAGGTTTCCCCACATTCTGTGTCAAGTGTCCACGCAGGTTCACTGTGTGTGGCCATGGCTGGTATCCCCAGCTGTGTTATTGCTGAAATAATTATAAGTGGTATAAAGCCATATTCACTTACTCGCTTAAAGAAATAGGCTCCAAGCATACAAATTCAAATCGTTATGAGAATATTCAGTCTCGATTATCTACAGAAACATATTATGTTTGGCAGTAAAGGCAAAATAGTGATGAAAAAGTATGTGACCGAACCACTGAAAATTAGTTGATGACACCAGGTTTCCGCGAAAATGGACGTCCTGCTCTACCAGTGGCACCCGGCAATTTTTACAAGAATTACATGTTTTCGTGTTTTTCCTAACATCGCACCCAACAATACTCCTCCCATACGAATGCGGCCTGTAAACAATCGAGTCCTGACTTGACAATCCAGTGATCAGTAACATGAACAATGACCCACGCTGGCGGGGTACGACGCTACGCTGTCAACCAAGGCACCAAGCATGACCAACCTGTCTATTCAGGTGAATGTCAGTGTGTGGGGATGTGTGAACACTCCCTATATAGGACATAGTAGGAAACAGCGCCGCCTATATTTTGACATTTAGCGTGTCATACTTGGTAAATTCCTCTGAACGTCTGTCATAGGATATCTGGATTGTCTTGACCAGACCTGTGAGGGTTAGTCCTTGATAAAAAAGATTAGATGTAAACGCAATGTGTCTTGCCACAAAATGTGAATAATCTGACATCCTCACTTCAGTCCCCAAACAACCGGGAAATGTAGACGTCATAACGTGGAGCTGATCTATCATGACCTCGACATTATCGGGGAAATTTGGGATGTCAAAACAAAGACTAAACAATCATATAATTGACAAGGCATTACTTCCCATTTGCGTAGCAATTTTCAGTTAGCCAACCAGCCAACTTGAACTTTGCACTTCTTTGATTTTTTATTGATTTTTATTGTTTTGAGGTGCTATCACATATGTGTGTCAACACAATAAGCAATGTCCTAGCCAATTTGCGTTTACTCCTTTTGTGTGTTTGCTTTAATTATGTTTATTATTTTTCAGTCTACCACCACATATGTAACACTTGTAAAAGTTCAGCTTTTTTATAGAAGCACCTCATATAGCGGTGAGGTAGGCCAGTTTGATCGTCACGTCAAAGATGAGGGTTCGATTCCCCACATGTATACAATGAGTATGTGAATTCCATTTCTGGAGTCCCTCACCGTGATATTGCTGGAATATTGCTAAAAGTGGCTTATTTACAATATTCACTCATGTGAATCACATTAACTATGTACATATATTCGCTCGTCACGCTGAAGACCCGGGTTCGATTCCCGACATGGGTACAATGTGTGAAATCCGTGTCTGGTGTCCCCCGCCGTGATATTGTTGGAATATTGCTAAAAGCAGTGTAAAACCATACTTACTAACTCACTCACTCACTCAATGTACAAAAACAAATATACATGTAACTTTGATGTTGATTTCTTGGGTGGTTAAAGGTTGTTAATGTGAAACATGTGTAAGTGCCTTTTTCTCTAATAACATAGTATTTGTTTATTTCTTAATAACACCTGTGTTTTTGGCCGAAATAAAAATGACATTTCATAAATAAAAGGTACAGAATCATGTCCATGTTTACTGAGGAATTTTGACAAGAATAGTCATTTTGAAGTAAGACGAGTTCTATGGGTGAACAACTTCTTTATTACAATTAGTGCGACGTTTCGGTGTAGATCCTAACACATCCTATCAAGCAAGTGATGAATAGTGCTAAACAACATAGGTATATATACTTATTAACATCAAAGTTTATACAGTATATAATTGATGGACACAGAGAGTTGATTAAGATAATTGGAAGCCAGTGGATAGGGAATAGGGAGTAGCCCGTATTTAAATTTTAAGCTGTTCCATATTTGTGAATCTCTGGGCCGGGTTTGATGACTTCATCAGCAGGATAAGGTAGGTTTCAGATGAATGTAAGTCACCATTATCACATACCAGATGGAAGTAGTGTGAATTAGTCCGGGATTGTCCGTCAACAATGGGTACGTTATGCAATGTCATAGTAATAATATAACTGTTTATACAAATCATTCATAAATATTTATCCCTTGCAATACACTTGACGTGAAAAACTCCTCGCCCAGCGAGTGCGCTGAAACTGTGTTCAGTGACTGAAGCGGACGTAGAAGTTACCACTATGTCTGTTGAACACCCAAATGTAAAGATATCACGAAACAGCACTTTTGCCTGTCGCAGTCTTTACTATTATGTATAATGAGAGTTTAGAATCCCTACAATGATAGTTTAATCGTGAAATAACTTTGAAACATTTACATAATTAGGCAGTGGGAGTCTATTAGACACAGCAGGGTAGGTCAAATGCAACTTTGTAAAAACGTATCTAAAATAGCGTGTATTTGTTTATCAATGCGTGCAAAAATATGTATAACAAACAATTTGAGCACCCATCCAAATTATATCACAGCATTTTTATTTAAATTAGAGTACAGTTATCTTTAAACTCGTAGGCAGATGAAAATGGCAGCCGATCGATTATAGCGCTGTTTTTGGAATCATTGTGACAAAAAGCATAAACAAAATGATTCATTGTAGTAAGTGCAATTGCTAAACTAAAAAATAAAATCTATATTTCCAGGTCCTGAACTCCAACTGGACGCTGCTCGAGCCAACACAGACCGGTGCCATGTAACTACAGACGGTGAGCTGGTCAACTCGCCGCGCGCCACGCGACACACGGACAGGGGCAGGCTACAGGAATATAGGGGCACGTGTACCTCCACCCCCATCCCACTTGATCCATCCCCCTCTAGTGTCACCCCTTCCCCCAACACAGCCAGATACTGGGAAACCAACTCCAGGGTGGGTTTGGGGAGTGCATTGTATGCGTTGCGTGGATTCCCTACCCTGGAGATGGGTGTAGTGGAGGAGAGCCAGGTGGACAGTGGGAGGTATGTTTATCACCAGCGCCGCTCCTGGTGTGTCATTGTAAGGAGCTGCAGAACACACTGGGGGAGTATCTGTACCAGGGTGTGGCAGGAAGGGGAGGAGGGGAAGTGTTACAGTAACACAATGTCTGACACACACGGCACACAGGCCACCCTCCACTATGGAGTTGTGCTGGATGTTGGGAGGGGTAGAGTCGCCTTTATCGATCTGGACAGGGAGGTTGTTCTAGCAAAGGCTGATGTAGAGTTTCGTGAGGCTCTTCTCCCTGTGTTTGGTGTTGGGCGGCCAGATCTCGTCACAGTCACCATGAAGTTGATTAGCGGGGAGGAGATCGTCATGACTGACACAAAAAGATCACTGATTAATGAAGCCCTGGCCTAAGGAATGAACTGAACATGGCACTGTGTAAACTTGTGAATGTGACATATCTACTCAAACTGTCAAATACAATACAATAGTGAAAGGGAGGTCCTAGAAGTAACCTGTTCATGTGTTGTTTGTTGTGTACGAACATGTAACAAGGTTAGCTAAATGTCTTGGTTTGCTCCATAACTGGTTTCTGTTGTGTATTAGAAACATTTTACATCCATACATGAGTATTGTTATGATTATTAATATATAATAACCGATCAGTTTATGGGGGGCACGGGTGGCCCAGTCGTCTTCGGCGCCGAGATTCGCTTTGCAGAGTTGCGTCCTTTGGGTACGCCAGAAACCGATGATTGTGGCTTCGAATCTCGGTTCGCCCCGATTATGTTTCTAGGTTTGTCAGCACCATACCCGTGCTCGTGGGTTTCACCGAAGTGGTAAACGTCTGAGACATGCATCACTTCGGGCTTTCCTCCCACATTAAGCTGACACGCCGCGATATAAGTGGAATACTGTTAAAAGCGGCGTTAAACCCATCTCACTCACTCACTCACTGATCAGTTTATGAACATTTCACACATTTCTGGGAAATGCCACATGAATAGTGTTGATTTGAAATTGACAGATGTATCTAAATATATTTGGCCTCAAGGTAGAGCGTCCGCCCAGAGAGCGGAAGGCCCGGGTTCGATCCCCGGCCGCGTCATACCAAAAGACGTTAAAAGATGGTTCTTGTTGTAACCCTGTCTGGCGCTCGGCATTAAGGGGCTAAAACAAGGACTGGTCGGCTCGAAGTCAGTATACTGTGTCTGAGTGGGGTATTCATGTTAAACTGCGGCATGGTATCTCAGTGTGCTAGCACTATACATCGGCATCAGTCCGGACTAGTACAAGCAGCCACACACATACACGTGCTATATAAGCGTAATAATCTTGGACGCGACGTTTAACCCAATTTCACCTCACCTCACCTCTAAATATATTCATTCGCTCGTCACGCCG